AAATGCTACTCCTGGTCCTCCCTTGTAAGTCCGTCCACTACCCTCTTCTAAACTCCTCTGTGCGTTTATTCCTAACCATTCAGAACTTGGTAGTTAGTTCCGCCATGTGTGACCCCTAAACTGTGTGACCCCCTTGAACTGCGCCCTCTCGTACACTGGGTCTGTGCTGTCGACTCTGCTTCCACCCCAAGCCGTCACTCTCTCTGCCTTTGGCTTGGAGCCTGGGAAGACCGCCAGCCCTCGGGATGGTTCCTCCTTCAGGGCCCCTGGCTGAGAAGTCTGCTTGCAGAAGAAAACGTTCAGCTGGGGCCATGGCCTTGCCTGATAGTCGGCTGTTGGCCCAGAGCACCCCTATCAGTCATTCGCACGCAGATGCCCTTTGGGGGAAGGGAGGGAGGCGTTGCCTTGAGGCGCCAGCCTTTCACTGTGGGGTGACTTTTCAGCATCTGAAAAGACAGCGCTCGACCAAGACAGGCCTTCAGTAGGCTTTGTGACAAACAGGATTGTAAAAGGTTAGTCACATTTAACGCCCATTAAAGGAAACGGTAGATGACTAGAAGAAATTACAGGCTAGCTGCACTGTCTTGCTGAAATGGCAGATTCGTGTGTGTCTTGGAGTAATTTCACAACAGGCAGCGGCTCAATCACAGAGGATGGGAGCTGGGACAATTAGGAACGTCTGTCCAGTCCCTTCCTTACCTGCCCAGGCTTCTCTAGTTCAAAGCATGCCTTCGGAAACCAATTTATTCATACGAATGAGAGCTGTAGACAAAATAAGTACGAAAAAAATAACATTCAGTCGTGCTGCGTTTGAGGCTTCAATTCCAGTAAAACATTTCCTGGGAAAGCATTTACGTCGACTCAGTGCCACCTGCTGGCAGGTGGAATCCTAGCAACTGAGTGTTCATTGGCCTGGCACCTCCACGTGGGTGGGGTGGGGTGGGAGCGGGGCAGCTCATTTCGCCCATTCATTCTGAACGCGTTGGAGAAGTGCCAGGCTCTGTCCTCGGTATGAGAAATACCACCGCCCCGCCTACTGTGGCACTTCTTAAATTCAGCACAAGTTGGGGTCATCTCGGAATGAAAATCAGACTCAGGCTCCGCTCTACAAGGACTGTAGTTAATGCACTAGAGTAGGTCCTGAGATCTAGGTGATTCTGGGAAACAGGAAATCCCACGAGGGGCATTTTTAAGTGGGGAGGGGGAGTAAATATGGAGCAAAGCAGGAAAATCTCCAAAGGCGACGGGGCCTGTGACCCCACTATATCCGCCAGTAGCATGGGGATGCAGTGGAGAGTGTAAGCAGACCCATACTTGCATTTTCTTTTTTCTTTTCTTTCCTTTCCTTTCCTTTCCTTTCCTTTCCTTTCCTTTCCTTTCCTTTCCTTTCCTTTCCTTTCCTTTCCTTTCCTTTCCTTTCCTTTCCTT